TGGTGGTGATGGTGATGATGGTGGTGGTGATGGTGGTGATGGTGATGATGGTGATGGTGATGATGGTGATGATGGTGATGATGGTGATGGTGATGGTGGTGGTGATGATGGTGGTGGTGATGTTGGTGATGGTGGTGGTGATGGTGGTGATGGTGATGATAGTGATGATCGCGGTGGCGATGGTGGTGATGGGGTGGTGATGGCACCGTTGGGTAATGTGTGTACTTGTGTGCCTGATGTACAGTATGAAGGTTTTCTTCCTGATCACCTTTGTAAGCACTGCTGAGAGCCAACCTCCTTGATGTGAGGGGAAGACAGAGTGGGAAACAAATGTTTGGAAACCAGAGTCGATGAGACTGGAAGCAGCTCATGTGTGTGCCCCTCAGCCTCTTCCTGCCGCCTTCCTTAGTACTCATTGTATGACTTCCCAGGCGCGTACGGTGGCGTCTGCTGGCTGTTCTTTCACCTTGCTGTTCAGAGAAACATGAGGCAGTCAACATAACCCACCTCCCCACGTGCCCCTCTCGCAGTTTTCCTTGCTGGCGTCGCCCTCATCACTGACATATTGTTTTCTGAGACACCCTGCCCGCCGCTGAGAAAGTGGCTTCATTGTGGGCTCACTCCCCTTCAGTTTTGTGATCGAGGGGGTTCTCTTCCACTCCCCAACTAACACTCATCATTTTTAATCCCACACTGACAAGTTTCCAGGCAGCTGACCTTCTGGTGGCAGAGGCAATGAATCAATCACCTCGGGCTGGTGACAGCTGGCACTTGTGCCGACTGGGAGCGCGGCCAGAAAACAACTGTTTACTGAGGCCCCACCTCCCGCCAAGGGGAAGTCACCTTCGGAGTCTGCCTACCCGAGGCTGCGTTTAGCCCCCGTGGGGAAATCCACTTCTCAGTCCCTGATTAGGTGTAGACTTTCCATAAACCCCCAGAGCTTGGGCAAATGTGCCTGTTTCATTGTCTAGTGACTGTGTCAGTGGACTTCTAAGGAACAGTTACCTGGATTCATTTCACTTTGTTCTGAAGGAGAGTCTGAATGGGGCTTGAAAACCCGTCCTCTGCCGTAGGAGGGACTTTTGACGCTCTTTTGGTGTGAACTACCCCTCCCTGGCAACCAGCAGCAAAACAAAAGCCCCAACCCAAACGTGATGAAATGTGGCCTGTCCAGACAGAAACATGTTAAGTTGACCCAGGACTTATCTTCTCACAGCCCTTTAATGGAAAACCACAGGGAGTCCAATGACACAGTGACAGCTGTTTCCGCAGGAGCCACTCTCAGGTTGGGGCATCGGGCCCCAGCCCCTGGCGCCCCTTGGGTTTCCTTGCTCTTGTAGAATCCTCAGAGTTTTGATGGCCTTTTATTGTTACAGTCACACAGGAAAAGGAAGAGTGGGGACAGGCCAGCAGGACATTTCTTAGAAACAGGACCCAGAGCCTGCTTCTGTCAGTCTCACCGGTACTATGGCCAAAATCTGACACCAGACGCCCATGAGCTGCTACCAGGCCCAGTTCATTGAACTCCGAGGGCAGGAGGGGTGTCTTCAGGTCACAGTGAGAGCTGGGACAGGAGAACAGTCACTGTTTTTTCCAGGGCAACCCCGGGCCTCAACCAAAGTGCCCCTGTGCCATGTAACCCACTCAGGTTGACCTAGACTTGATGGTGAACATTCTCCCGGCCTCCTTCTGGGGCTATTTCAGTGTATTCCAGGTAGAGCTGGGAGGGCCGTGGCCCATGCACACAGCACAGAATTAGCTCCTGGGTTGCTGGGCTGCCCTGTGCAGCTCGGAGTTTTCGTCGGCGGTAACCCAGGCCTGCCTGGTGCTTGCTCCTCAGGTTTCCATGCGGAGCGCAGGCGGTGGGAGGGTAGGGGAGGGATCTTCATCGAGAACCACGAGTCTCCCACGCTCGTCTGTTCTCATGTGCCCCTGTCTGCTCTGAGCTCCTCTCTAGGCTTTGGCCTGTTTTAGGTTTACATCAACATGTTTACTTGTCCTAGTTGACAGCGTCTTTTATATTTAGTCCAAATCATTCTGAACCTTGACCCCAGAGGTGCTGGCTGATTTAAGTGGACAGAGAATCTCCAGACACCCCCAGACATCTGCTATTGTTTCAGATATAATGTATGCTATGTCCTTTTGTGTATTGTTTTTTTTTAAAGTCTTACCCAAGGATATGGTTTTATTGTTTTTAGAGAGAGAAGGAAAGAGGAAGGGAAAGAGAGAGAGGGACATCGATGTGAGAGAGGAACATCAATAGGTTGCCTCCTGTATGTGTCCTGACTGGAATTGAACCTACAACCTTTTTGTGTCCAGGGCAATGTATGCAAATTTCTTTTGTTTTTGGTAATTCTGGTTAAGCAAAAAAATCAACCAAAAATGCACTTTTGAAAATTGGTCTCATTTTCTCCTGTGAGCAAAGTATTTTAAGCCCATTGTAATCAGGGAAGTTTAATCTCCGTGTTTACATTGTGTCTAACAGATTGAGGTGTGTCATTAAGTTACTAGTTTATGAACTGAGGTAGCCGAGCAAAGCTTTATCTGTGAGGAAGAAACGGTGTTGGGAAGACAAGGGTTTTAGGGTGCTGCTATTTAATGTTCTTTCCTCATCTCTGGCCTCGAACTCCTGTAATAATTTCCTCGCCACACCCCTCAAGTCTCTGAAGAATGTCTGTGAGTTAGACTGATTCTGCAGACATTCATTCCTCAGGAGTTTTGAGAGTCACACGCCTAAGGTTTGGCTGCATCCTGGTGTCCCCAGCAGGGACCAGGCCCACGTCCACAGCAGTGAAAGCTGCCCTGCAGTCCTCTGAGTGCCCCTTCACTGGGTTTGCTCTGCTGCAGGACGGAGCCAGGGTTAGGTGTCCGGCCACGCAGGTCTGCTCACCTGTCCTGCAGGTGCAGAGCTGCCAGCAGCTGGTAGAAGTGTGAGTTCGAGAAAGGGGCCTATCCCTGGGGTGAGAGGGCAGATGCAGGCAGGACATGTGGCCCGCTGAGGCAAGTGGGGCCGCATGGAGCTCCCGCTCGTCCTTTGCCAACTGCCTTGTGCAGGGCACATCTGCAATGACACACATACCCCTGTTGGGGTTCCACCCCCGACATCTCTCTCTCTTTTCTTAAAGTATACTGTTCTCTCTCTTTTTAAAAATTGATTTAGAGAGGGAGGAAGGGAGAGAAACGTCAATATTAGAGAGAAACACCAGTTGGTTGCTTCCCACATGTACCACAACTGGGGGATTGAACCCACAACCCTGACCAGAAATCAAGCCAGCGACCCTTTGGTGCATGGGACGGTGCTCCAACTGCCAAGGCACACCTGCCAGGGCAAGGTGCCTGTATATTGTAGGTACTTGGCATCCCACATAGCTGAGTGACCAGGGAGCAAGCAGGCCAGGGCCCAACAGTCTCAGGGACAGCGCCCCTGATGTGCCAGCTGACAGTGATAACTCCCTTCTGACCTGGAGAGAGGCACCGTCCTTGGAAACGGCCGGCAGAGTCGGGCTGCTGCCTCGGCTCCTGCCTTTGATCTTGTAGAGCGTCTGCTTTAGTCCCTTGTTTTGTTACCTCCCGTGATGGCTGCTCAGGAGTGTTTTCTACAAAATGCAATTCTTTAGCAGCTTTTCCAGGAGGGATGGCAGGGCCCACGCTCAGCTTGCTGGTGTGAGCGAGGCCTCCCTGTTCTCACCAGGGCGTGCTTCGCCTCTTGCTTAGAGGGTTTGAAAGTCTTTATTTTACCCATTGGGGGAAAGAGCCGAGTGTGGGCCAGAGCGTTTGTTCCTCCCGTGTTGTGACGTGAAACAGGGACGGGTCTGGCCCGGCTGCAGCTGTCCCAGTCCTGTGGCCTCCCGCAGCCCAGCGCTCTGCTGCCCACCTGGTGGAGGGCTCGGGTGCTGCTTAGCAGTTTTAAACTTGTGGGTTGGTGAAGCTGTGGGTTTACCTCCCAAGCTCTCCTCTGCTGTCCTTGGGAGAATGTGAAGCCACAGCTTTTCAACCCACGCCCAGAAAAGCACTACCTTCTGGTTTAGCTTAAATGCATATCAGCTCAGAAGGGTCACTGGTCCTGGGCAGCTCTGGTGCACAACTGTTGTTACTGTGCACACCTGTCCGTGAGGCCCCTCCAGAGCTGGATTTGTGCCCCAGCTAATCAGACGCGGTAATTCCCCAGGCCCGCCGCCTTTCTCCTGGTTCCCTCTCTTTCTCATACACTGTCTTTTCTAAGGCGTTAGTTACATTGTGAATGAAAAGTTGCTTGTTCATTAAAGTTGATTTTGTAACGTCTTCTTTCAAAAATGGACAAGAGGAAATGTAACTCATGCATCCATTGTCTTTCTAGGTTTGTGGGTAACTCTGAAGTTGCTCCCTGGAGACATCCATCAGATTAGAAAGGAGTTTCCTCACTTAGTGGACAGGACCACAGCAGTGGCTCGGAAAACGGGATTCCCGGAGATCATCATGCCTGGTAAGACTGCTTCCTCCCGTGTTGCTGAGCGTGGTGTGGGTGTAGCTGGCGTTCAGGGACTTCACCTAGCTGGCCACAGAGTGCCACGCAGTGACCTATGGGAGCCCAGCAAGTAGAGGGCTGAGTGTGGCAGGTGGCTGTGACCCCAGCGTGGTTTTGTCATTTCTGCAGGCAGGTGCTGCAGATCAGGCCAGGGGGAAGCGGGGGG